CGTGTGAAATTTAGAATCATGTCAGCCGGAGGGACATGTAATCATGATGTAATTCTTAAATGTGCTACTATATTACTGTTACCGTATACACCTATTTAGAACAGACGATCGATGCACGATCGTCGCTTCACTCTAGAATTTAAATCGAGAAGCGACAGGAAGTTGCAAGTATAGATTCCTTTTCTCGCGCATTCATTACAATGTTATAGAAATAATTTTAGAAATTATTCAATAATATTTGAATTTAGAACTATTTCGTTATTTAACAATATAATAACATAATTCAATTGATATCGATAATATCTCATTCTAATCTTGATCTCATTTCTTGATAATTATTGTCGTATCTAGATTATCTAGTATTGATTCATATTATTTGTCATTTTCTTTGCATGCAGTTTTTTATATTAAAATAAATTGTAACTTTAATTTTAAAACTCAGTGACTTTATTTATTTAAATAGATTAACTTACTTATTATCCAAAATTAAAAATAAATTAAATAATACTTATATAGATAAATAACATGTAATAATTATATGTTAAGATGTGAAAAAATCCTTAAATTAAAAGATTGCTGCTATAATCAGAGCATAACTAAAGTATATAATTGCAATTGTAGTTATACGTGTACGTAAAACTTTCTTAACATAAAGATATCTTTTCTTTCTACAAAGAGATATGATTACTTTTATATGATATCTAATATCAAGAATTGCAACAATATCGTGAATCTTGCAGTAGCATTAAATAAATTATTCGATATTAGATTCCGCTTTAAAAAAGATCAGACTTTATTCTTGAAATAAAACGCGCTCCAATTTCTCTTAAATTTAATACAATTCATAATGGAATTCATGTTACACGGTATTGAACAGCACTTTGGAAAAGAAAAGTTTATAAAATTGAAAACAGTTTATAGAATTAAAAAATATATTTGTAAATCTAGACGAATATTATTAAATATCGAGATTCACTTCGATCAAAAATAGAATTTTTTAAATATAATTTTTAAAAAAACTTCAAACGCTATCGACCGTGAGATGTTTCTGCCTGCGGAACTGTGCTGTACTGCAAAATCCGAAATTTCCCGCAACGAGAGTCGCTTTTGAACAAATCTGAGCGTCAATCAACTTCAAAAGACATTAAAAAGTCCTTGGTAAACGTCATTCTTAGGCAACTATGTTATCCAAGATCCCAGGATATTAACGAACGGTGCGACGCGGCGCGTTGCGTACTCGCGGAGAGGAATTCTCGCGCGACGGTAGTGACCGTAGAAATTCCTTTCGCCGGTCTCACCTGATAGCCGATCCGACGTACTGATCTATTCAATGAGGAATCCGCTGAATCATTATCGACGATTTCCCTTCCCGGTGAATATCCCGTACCTCGGTTTCCCACGAAGGACACAACGCGATATCCAGTGACGTGTGGTTAATTTTATTTCTTCTTTTTTTTTTTGGTTCGTTGAGAGTACAATCGCGAGAACGCGATGGATCGGGCGCGAGCAAATCCCGCTCGATGCCACCTGATCGAGCGATCACGGAGAACTGAACTCAGGACGCTGAACGCCAGAACGCTCCGTCTTGCTTCTCGACGTTGCTCCTCGACATTGCCGTAGAGCGGGACAGAACCGTGACAAGCCTGATCGGTGCCCTCGACCGAGCCATTCATTGTCAATTTTCTATATCTTGATTTCTATTATCGTGCTTTCATTATTTTCAAAATATGCAAGACTTCCGATATAAAAGTTATGCGAATAGTTATGCGAATTATTGTCCTACTAAAAATGAAAATTGAAGCAAAATGTAAGAGAGGGATGACAGAACCAAAAATTGAATAGATCTGTGCAGTTACTATTATATTGTCTTATTTTATACCTTCTTATTTTATACCTTCTTCGATGGAATACTCTTAAATTCATATGTAATGTCAAATGAATGAAATTATAATTTATTATACTTAAGTTATTTTTAATTATTTCTACAAGTCGCCACCTATTCAACATTAATTTAACTAAAACAAAGAGTTGAACAATTTTAACTCAAGAAATGTAAATTAAGTTTGATTGAAATTTAATTTACAATAAATGCATACATCAATATGGACATTGTTTATTTTGAAACTAACTGCAGAAATGGATTGATTTATATTTCGACACATATAGAAATTAAAAATAATAAAATTGAGTCACTATTACTTCTTTGTTATCTAACAGCAAATAACTGTATTTGATTAGGATCGAATTTTCACATATTCTGCTTCTCGATCATTTCCGATAATAAGATTTGAATGTTTATAATAGAATAACCGATAAAGAGACAGAAATGTTTTGATTGAGATATGTAGAATTTTGGTAGATTTTATTTATCAACTATATAAATTATTGCAACAGATTTTTGTACATTTGTTATAATTTTGGTTGAAATGTTGATAACATTAATATTTTTTTAAGCATTTGATAAACCCCCGTTATTTGCACGGAAGAGATAAGACTTAAAAAATATTTAAATATATTCACAGATGGTAAATATATTCACAGATATTCCATTTTAAGTGCACATTTGATGATAATTGTAAAAAAACAATAAAACAAAGCACTGTATTACGTAAAATAAGTAAGCAGAAAAAAACAAAATGATTAAATATAAAGATATCTCGATTAGATTGAAAGAATCCAGTTCTTTTTGGCCGGAAGTTAAAATCGTGATATTATTAGATCATTTATCGGATCGTGTGTGTGCGCTATTGTGTAATAAAATATTCTCAAGTTTGTCATAACGTATCGATTATCTGCAGTAAAATCGATATGAGTTTAGCGTTCAAGGTTGGGAAATAATTTATCACTTGTAACGAAGTTACAGATAGAATTACTTTTTTTCAGTAACTGTAACTTAACTTCATTTCTTTTCTCCAACTGTAATTTAACTTACAGATTATATTTTTTTATTAATAGTAATCAATTTACATAGTTACACATTTTATATATTTCAAACTTTTTAATATAAGCTGATCAAAATGAAATTATATAATGTGAACAATAATATTTAATGTGAACAATCAATAATTATTTCTTAGGATTGAAAAACATCTTTTTGCCTGATAATCATTAATTGAAGCTTCAAGTAAGTAGCTTTAATTGAGAAAAAGCTTCAATCTTGTTTACTTATTTACCACATACATAAAGAAGAGCAAAACTTTTATTAAAAATATCATACATTTATTATTAAAAATTTTTTATTTAAAATTACGTGTTTTTTAATTAAATATTTTTATATTAATAATTTTATATTAAATAGTTAGCAATATCAGCAAATAAA